GTATCTTCTTTCTTTTTGTTTTCTTTTTGTTTTGTCCACCAGAAAGAGTTTCTTTGTATAAAAGTCCTCTTTCGACAACAAACCTGGATTGATTAGAAGAGCTGAGAGGCGGTGGGTTGTTCCGTGCTGCCGTCTAAGCTCTCTGGAGGCTTTCACCTGTTTCCTGTTTGGTCTGGAACCATTCCCTTGATGCTAGAGACGTCAGTTCCTCATTGGATTGTGGACATAGGCTTGGTCCCTCTGGAAGTGATGCAGGTGATGGGGCTGTTTCCCTTGACTGTGAACGGCTCTCCGCTGGTGCACTGTGTTGGGGTTCAGGCTCCGGCTGAGCCTCTTGTGTAGGGTTATCTGCTGCTGCCAGTGCAGGTTCGGTGGGGCCCTCTGGTGTTGGGGTTGCAAGTACTGGATTCAGTGCTGGCAATGGTTCTGGTGCTGGTTGTTCCGCCGGTTCCGGTTCTGGAACTGGCTCTGTCTGGATCTTGTGAGTGTCAGGAATTTTATGGAGTGTGCACAGTCTCTCAAAGGTGAGTAAATATTCAGCAATATCACTGGATTCATCGAACTGTGGACATAGTCGCTCCCACTTGTGGATTGTACTTCTTGTTCAAAATCCTGCTTTGCTTCTGGTTCCAAATGATCTCTGGTTCCAAATGGTTCCCACTGCTCTGCCACCATGTCAAGGTTCCTTCCCCACTCTGAACTCTAGGGTACAGATGTGGGGACCTGCATGAAAGAGCCCCCTAAGCTTATTCTTACCAGCTTAGGTTTAAAACTTTCCCAAGGTACAAACTTTGCCTTGTCCTTGAACAGTATGCTGCCACCACCAAGCGATTTAAACAAAGAACAGGGAAAGAGACCACTTGGAGACGTCTTCCCCCAAAATATTCCCCCCCCCCCAAGCCCTACAGACCCAAACCCTTGGATCTTAAGAAGAATGAAAAAATCAATCAGGTTTTTAAAAGAAGAATTTTATTTAAAGAAAAGGTAAATGAATCACCTCTGTAAAATCAGGATGGTAAATACTTTACAGAGTAATCAGATTCAAAACATAGAGAATCCCTCTAGGCAAAACCTTATGTTTCAAAAAGACACAAAAAGAGGAATACACATTCCCTCCAGCACAGCGAATTGTACAAGCCAAAAAACAAAAGAAAATGTAATGCATTTTCAAGCTAGATTACTTACAAACTTTACAGCAGTAGGAAGGCTTGCATCCTTGACCTGTTCCCGGCAAAGGTATCACACAGACAAACAAAAGCCTTTGTCCCCCCCTCCAGATTTGAAAGAATCTTGTCCCCTCGTTGGCCATTTTGGGTCAGGTGCCAGCGAGGTTATCTTATCTTCTTAACCGTTTACAGGTGAAAGAATGTTGCCTCTGGCCAGGAGGGATTTTATAGCACTGTATACAGAAAGGTGGTTAGCCTTCCCTTTATATTTATGACAGCATGGATACAGGAGACACAGTCCAGGCTGTGACTCCTTTGCAGAAAAGTTCACTATCACTGCAGGCACACAACTGCAAGAGGAAAACTAATGAAAAACCGCCGAATCAGCACATTCAAAATACAGTAAAAGCATGCTTTCGCTGTGGATCCCCACAACACCTTGCAAGCTACATAGGATGTCCGGCAAAAGTAGCTCAGTGCGATCATTGCAAAAAGATTAGAGATTTGGCTGCCTGCCAGTAAGAGTTACTTTTGGTGATTGCTGTGTAACTGCAGAGTTCTACATTGTCCACAAAGGAACTCCTATCCTTGGCAGAGATTTATTGGCTGCTATAAATCTCAGGGTAATTAATGGACAAATTGATCTTCCTCAGTAAAGCACCATTGCGCTACACACAGCAGTTTCAGCTGGGACCCAACACCAGGCTGAGGAGAAACTTGGCTTGACTTATGGGTTTCTGAATAAATTAAAATGCAGAATAATGTGGTGCCTGTATGACAGAATTTAAGGTGCTTACCATTTTCAGTCAGGGAAGCTGTTTCAGAGGAACTTAGAAAACTTGTTCAAAAGGACATTATTGAAGAGATCGACTCCTCTGAATAGGTTTCACCTATGGTAGTGACGCAGAAGAAGGGTGGAGGCATTCACCTTTGTGTGGACTTAAAGGAGTCAAATAAAGCTATTGTGATTGACAGCCATCCTCTTCCTCACATAGAAGAAGTATTTGCAGAACACTGTGGAGCAAAGATGTTTTCTACTCTTGATTTGCAGAGCGCAAACCACCAGGTTATGTTGCATGAAGAGAGCAGAGACCTCACAGCATTTATTACACATCAGGGACTATTTTGTTTTAAACGTGTTCCATGCGGTCTTGCATCTGCCCCAAGTGCCTTTCAAAAAATGATGTCATTGATTCTGAAGAATTAACATGGAGTTCAGTGCTATTTGGATGATATTATTGTGTTTGGAAAAACTTCGGAGGAGCATGACAATAACCTTCAGTCTGTGCTAAACTGCATCAGCACAGGAGGGTCCAGCTCAATAGGTCCAAATGCAAATTGAGACAAACGGAACTCTCCTTTCTGGGGCATACGATTTCACAGGCTGGACTAAAACCTGATCCAGATCATATCCTGGCAATTTCAAATGCTCCTCTTCCAACAGATTTGCAAACCTTACGTTCCTTCTTGGGTCTTATCTCCTGGTATGCAAAATCTTTGATGACATTGCTCATCACGAAAGGACTGGGAAGAGCAGGATACCGTATTGCTCGATGGTCTGCAAGACTACTCTCTTTCAATTATGAACTGGAATATAAGCCTGGAAACCAAAATGTGGTCGCTGATTGCCTTTCTCACCTGCCTTTGCCTTCACCAGATGGTCGACCGGAGGATGAGGATGTAGTGGTTGCGCTTATTACAAGCACTCTCACGGCAGTTACAAGGGAACAATTTCAAGCTGCTTGTTCAGCATGTCCAATTCAACAAAAAATTATAGGAATTTCTGACAAAGAGATGACCCAGTCACCCTAAAAACTTGACCCAGTTTTGCTGCCTTATTTTAGAGGTTGGGATGAACTTTCTTTGTTTGATGGCTATGTGCTACGAGGTACACACCAGCTCCTTGTGCCGGAAGAATTACAGTCAAAACTCATATACCTGGCACACAATACTCGTGAAGGAATTGTCCGAACCAAACAATGACGAAGGGATCTGTATTGGTGGCCAGGGATGGACTCTTAAACTGAAGCACTCATAAAATCCTGTGTCACTTGCCAAATGCATGATAAGACAGCAGTGACATGTTCCTCTCCATTACAGCCTGTTCCTCTTCCTGAATCTGCATGGGAAAAAGTGGCGATTGACATTGTAGGACCCTTTGATACTGCTCCAACTGACTGCCCTTATGCCATCACTTTTATAAACTATTTCAGTAAATGGCCTGAGGTAGCGTTTACATGGCAAATCTCTTCTGCTACAGTCATTAAGTTCCTCTTTTCAGTTTATAGCAGGGAAGGTAACCCCAAAGAACTGGTTTCAGATAAATAGTAGTCAATTTACTTCTCTGGGGTTTGAAACTTTTCCAGCACAGAGGAACATTTTACACCCAAGGTCATCCCTATATTACCCTCCAGCCAATGGGGAAATCAAACAGTTTAATAGAAGTTTGAAAGAGAGTTTGCGAACGGCTAAACTGGAAGGGCTATTGTGGATACCCTTCACTACTGATTTCTTGCAAACATACCGGGCTACACGACATGCCACAATGCAAAGATCACCCGAAGAGTTACTGCATGGGAAACAGATGAATACTCAATTGAATATTGCTGGATTTTGAAAGGCACGACCTGATGCCCCAAATGAGGGTGATGTGAGAAAAACAGTTGAACAGAACCAAGCAAAGTCTAAGGCTTTCACAGACAAGCGGCGGGGGGCTAAGGAACCAAAGTTTGAGTGTGGTTCCTTCGTTAGAATACGAAAACCTGGAATATTACGCAAAGGGAACCATAAATTCACAGCTCCTCTTAACATCATTGAGAAGACGGGACCTTACACCTATCGACTTTCTGATGGGTGGGTATGGAATGCTTCTTATCTTGCACCTGCCTATGCACCGAGAAAAGAGGATGCCAACACCCAGTCTGCATTGGATGACTTCACCGTAGTACCAACACAACAAGACATTGCACTGGAACCGGGGCTTGAGAGACGACCTGACAGACCCAGACGACCACCTGTCTGGACTAGAGACTATGTTATGTAGTATCTACAGTGTTTTCAGTGCAATATTTCTGCCAACAGTATAGTGTCTTGTTTCATATTTGTTCCTGTGGTTAGAACAATAATGTTTATTTTAATTGGGAGAGTTTCTTAAGAGAGGAGGGAATAGGGTGTTTAGATGTTGCTTGTAATTATTGGAATTGGGAGCACTGTCTGTTGGGAGTCTGAAAGGACAGGAAACAGGATGGAGCGGGCAGGAGTTGAGAGTCTGGAAGAAAGCTACAGAGGGTGCAGCAGCACCTCGGTTAAGAGGTTTCCACTTTGAAAATAAAAGCCAGTCCTGTTGAAGCTTGTTAGTACCTTGCCTGGATGATACAACAATTTGTTCCCCATCTAATTAATTATCGATAGGAATCAGGTACCCCTTAGACTTAAGGCCTCAGCTCTTTTAAAGCAGCCTAGCCTGCTTTCCTCTGTTCTCCTTAATATGGTCTTGTTTTGGGGAATCTCTCAGAGCTTTTGGGGCCCCCCCTTGCACATTTACATATATGGAGGCTTTCTGCAATAATTTCCATTTTTGCAAGAGAACCTGCTGCACATAGCCATGTCTGGAAGCTCTGGAACAAGGAAAGAGGACCTGGCAGTGGGACAGTTTGAGAGCAGAGGGGAACAGAAGGAGGATCGACGTGTTGTGGGAGTACCAAGGTGGGTGGTAAACTGTGACTGGCCCCAACTCCTCTGACAATAACATAAGCCAAACAGAATGGTATAAGGAACAGGAAAGAATTTATTCATAGGCACTCACTGAAACATGCAAATATATATTTTCCCTGGGCTAGGAACACCCCGAAGTGGATTTAATACATGATAAGGGCCTTGTTTTTTATATATATTTCTAAGTTTAAAAAGGAAAATGAAAGGGATTTTTATGGAAAAGAAACAGCAAAACAGCCCCCGGGCACCAATCAAAACATTCTCACACGTGTTTGCAATACACCACCGCAGCCAGTTACTTTTATTAAAAGGACAAGAACAAGCTATTATGGGGAATACAAATGCTCCCCCGTGGATTTTAGAAGCAAGGCGTCATCTTCCAGATTCCCAGAGGTCCTGCATTGACAATCTATGATGCCATCACTCAGGAGCACTTCTGCAAAAAAGGGAAATTGAAAGAACGTTTGCTAAAGTCAAGATATATCACGTCCAGTAAAGATATATCATGATACAGTTATTATCTTATATGACAGGGATAAATCATGCATGCAAACCATGGATCAAAGTCTTCAAATGGGCTACAAATGCAAAAAATATGAGGTATTGAAAATTTCAACAAATGAGTGGTGGGGGAGCATCAAAGACGCTCCTTGCCTGGGGCACCATTTGATCTAGGGCCAGCCCTGCACCCAAGTTAACTTTACTGTGGAAACCTTCATGTTTCAACTGTAGCTTAAACAGCTATTTCATGAACTAATGTTGTACGCTTTGGTTTTCCAAGATTTATATATGTCCCAAGGCCTAGAAGGGGACCACTCTCTCTTCTTCAATAAAACAATAATGTAGGCATATGTGATGAGTCTGGCCGCAGCCCTCGTCTGCATTATGATGCTCTGGTGACATATTGAGGCCGTAAAAGCAGTTGGAGGAGAGTTATCCCAAAGTTCGAGCAAGACATGGCTGAGATAAGTGGTCCTTTGCTGTCCTCCTTGCTAACTCTGTCTTGGCGGGGTGCTGGACATGGTGCTAGGGGCTATCAGGTTTGCAGAAGGGCAATCTCTAGAGCACTGAACATTCTGAGGTTACTACAGGATTGGCCACAGGCAGCAGAGTAAAGCATCTGCAAGTAAGAGAAGTCAACAAGGGTCAATCCAGCCCCCAGACAGTCCAGAATCAGGGTAGCCAGAGGAGCCTCCTTTGTCCCCTGCCTCTGGGCTGTGCTTTGTGTGCAAAGCCTCCAAGGGCATTAGACAGCTCACATATATAAAGGAGAGAAACAAACAGTTCTATTCACTGTTCTATTCTATTCACCCACAAATGATTCCCTAGTAGAATCTGTACTTACCCGAAATACACAGCAAGCAAATCTACCGCAGGGTCCTATACGCTTCATCCCCCAAGGACATCGGGAACGGAAGCATCCACCATTACGACGAAAACATCTGTAAGTGCTAGAGACACGACTGTCAGAATCTGCAGAAAAATAATAAAAAAGGAGTCTTGACTTTCATTCACACAGCAGGATAAAAGAATTGTGATTGCTATGATGAGCGTTTTGCATTCAGTGAATTTCTCATTCACTGAGACCTCGACACATCAGCCCAATTATCCTCCTGTACACCATTTTACTAGATCTGTAACAGTACTTAAATGGCTGTCATTCTCTGCACATTCAGTGGCTGCCCTTAAGAAGAGAACAGAGTGAATTCATGAACCAGATGCACTGGCTTCTTGGCTGCACACTGCAGAGCATTAAAATGGAGCATGGGTGTCCTTCTCAGTAAATTCTTTGGTGCCGGGAATGTGTCTCTGCTGATTATTAGCATAGAGCCTTGCACAATGGGATACCAGTCCATGACTGGGCTCCTAGGTGGTTACTCAATCATTAAATAAATAAATAATACAGACGCGTTGTCATTTCTGCAGAACCTGCTTTAAGCTGACATAGTGGCATCTCCACTATTGAAGCCAAGCACAAAAAGTATGACAGCTTAGGTCTGGGGGACAGTGTCGCTAAGGCATTGAGACAATGACCTGCCACCCTAAAGATGAGGGTTTTAGTCCCAGACTGTGTACTCTCCCATTGGAGTGAGAGACATCAATTAATAATAAGGGATATGAAAGCTCTGACTCATTAACACTCGTGAGCAGAAGAAGTTAGAATCTAATTCATGGTGTCCTGGTTCCCAGCCTGGTTCCTCATCCTGTGAAACAAGCCGTATTTTCATCTGGTTTGGCAAGAGGAAGAGGACACATCTTGAACGTGTCCCACACAGATGTTCAGTTCTTCTTGGCCTCAGGGCTACCTTGGTCGGGGGAGGGAATGAAAGGGGAAGTTTGTGGAAGGCAACTAAAATGGTGGATGCGTGGCTGGGCTAATTTTGATTGAGAGCATTGCAACCAATATATCCTTTAGGTAGTGTCCACATGCATCCTTCTTTACTTGTGGACACCAGAATGAGACAAAGTGTCCCATCAGTGATCACCCCTGTGCCTAATACAGAGGTAAAATACCCTCTCTACTCCTACTTGAGATTCCCCTGTTTATGCAACCAAAGTTCCCATTTGCCCCGTTAGCCAGAGCGTCAAACTGGGAACTCCTGTTCAACTCATTATCCAGCATTTTCCCCAACATCCTTTTTCAAGTCACAGCTTCCAAGGATAGAGGCCCTCATGCTGCAAGTAAAGCCTACCCTCTTTGTTCTTTGATGTGGACATTTATATTAAGCCTCATTAAAATGCATATGGTTGGCTTGCACCCCATTTACCAAGTGATCCACATCACTCAGTGTCAGTGCTCTGTCTTCTTCAATATTTACCACTCCCCCCAATTTCTATGTCATCTGAAAACTTTAGCCGAGAGTTTATGTTTTCTTCCAGGTCATTGATACAAATGCTATATAGTGGAGGACCAAGAACCAAACCCAAAGGAACCCCACTAGATAGAATGTGGGGATAGTTTTCCAGGTCACAGTTCCAGCACATCTGAATGGATTTTCATGGACACAGCAAAGGCACTTTTTTGACCGCAGCACTATTTCACAGCCACATTTCACGTGTCTGCTGTAAGCCAGGCAAGCCCTGCATCTCTTTCGAAAACAATTTGGAAAAAAAATGACACAAAGTTTTAGGTAAACTTAGTACATGCTCACAAATATCCTTCTCTAGTCTCCCGACATTTCATTAAAACCTTACCTTGTGCACTACTTTGAGCCACCAAGAAGAAGAGGGCAAAAAGAAGGTAAAGTATCTTCATGGCTGTAGTTTGGCCGGGAGCTGAATGTCACTTGGGAGAAGAGACTCTCAGATAGACAGGAGAGGGACACTCTGTCCATTTATAGGGTGCTGGGGATTGTGACATGCTGATCTGTTGCAACCTTTTTTTGATACAAGGGACATTTACAAGGTGTGTGCTGCAATCTGTTAATTATGAAGATATTTATCTGTACAGCACCATAAAATTTCCTGGAGGATTTCAGGGAAATACAATTGACAGGTCCCTGCCTTCAGGAAGTTACAATATGAATATTTACACCTCGGAAATACCTACTGCCTGGTCTAAAGCCCTTTGAAGTCAGTGGAAAGTCTCCCATTGATGTCAGATGAGGGTCCTAGTGTACAATACAATTCAAAAACACAGTCCTGGCAAGCAGCTGGGTGGGTTTTTGTAGTTGTTTTGTACAGTTTTCCTCAATATTTTATTTGGAATTTTGGCATTTTCCCAATTTCATTTATCAAAACCCATTAAAAAGTGTTAAAATCCTCTTTTAAGTAAAAAATAAAGTGGATCACATTGAAAATACTGTGTGTCAGGAATGTATGGTTATGGGTTTTTTCCCTTGTAAATCTAAACTGAGGAATTTGAAAATTAGTGGTGCAGGAAAAACATGAGTTTTCCTTTTGAATCCCCCATAACAAGTATCAATCTTAATGATAACAGTCTAAAGTACAGACATAAAGTGTTGATGTATCCAACAAGTGGAAAGCCAATGGTATTCCCCAGTGCTAAGCACCTCTCAGGATTTGTCAAATTGTTTAGGGAGGAGGGAACAAAACATGGTTGGGCTTAAACTGGAGTCAAAATATTTAGGACCATTTCTAAGGGATCGTTAGAGCAGTTTGACACCTCAGCGTTCTCTGGGGGATTCATTCTACACAGGGCCCAGAACTGACAATATATGAACCCTTGTGAATCTTCCCAACACCGTTGAAAATCTCCCTCCCCATCATCACCTTTCTCTTTTCCCCATTTCCACTCAGCAGGAAGCATAGATATAAAAAGTTGAAGGTAGGGTTCTGCAGTCAAGCGGTGGGGGAAGAGGGTGACATCCACAGGGCGGTGAGGAGTTGCACGAGACCTGACTCTTTAGTCTCCCAGTCATTGCCCTCTATTTCAGTTCACTCTCTGGGGAGGGTGCTAGTCTCCTCACCTACCACTTTCTCCGCAGACACAGAACAGGGATCCGAGATGTTTCCGAGATGTTTCCCTGCCCAGAGGGGTCACAAGGAGTGGTCACATCAGCTTGTCTGGACAACTCACTCCCCTTCTTTCCTTGTTATTTCCATGCCATACACACAGAGAAGTTATATAGAATAAAAATACTCTTTCTGGAAAGTTGCAACATTACACCTCTTCATTTCTTAGAATTCAGAACGATAACACACACAACCCCCAAAACGTAATGAGAGAGAGAGAGTGAGAGAGAGCGAGAGAGAGAGAGCAGGCTTCTTCCTAAACCAGAGAGGCACAATTAATCACATCCTGTTCTAGGCTGTCTGGCTGCTGAATGACTCTGGTGAGCCTAGAGGGCATGCTTCCCTGCAAAGTCCCTTTGGCTGCAACCGGACCAGGACAAAACCTTGAGTTTTTGTTTCAAGTTTTAGTTTACAATTTTAATGCAGTTTTCAGTACACCACACTTTCCCCACAGGGGCAGATGCTCCATTGGGTCCCCTTCAGCTGCTGACTGGAAACCACACATCTGCCCTTAATTGGCACTAGCTGCCACACTGATGACCACACCTGGCTTTGAGAGAGGCTACGGGATGTGGCTGTCAGAGGTAGGGATGGGCAAAATTAGTCAACATAAAATAATGATCACTCCCCGCACAAAAAATAACAAACACCTCCTCCTCTTCCCCTTCCCCTGCCAACAAACTCCACCTTGGCCTCTCTTCACAACCAACTGGAAACTGGAACAAACCAGTTCCTCCTTTGCGGAAGTTTGAGGAAGATTCATGTACTCAGTGGCGCCTACGCACCCTGCATCCAAATCTCCATACGTCAGGAGGATTTGGAGTGATCAATATTCTCTTTGTGGCCCATCAAATGTCCTCTTCTGAAGACCCCTCAGAATGCAACCTTCCTCTGAATAGCTTCACCCTTTCCCCTTACCGGTGCTCTGTTACAGAGGGGAGGCCCATCCATCTCTGATCT